ATAGGATTTTTAGAAGCGGTTATAAGATTAGTTAAAAGATAAACATTTCTTAAATTGGAGGACTCTTATTTGGAGTGGGAGACGTGGGAAAAATGTGAGTATAATTATAGGTTTTGTAATATACTCAAATCACCGATGAGATAAAGTTTGCCTAAATAAACTTTACAGTATCCTAATTCTTTGCAAAAAAAAAAAGCGCTAAATAGTTATAATTGGCATTGCAATTTACGGCAACGTGCCAGTGGCATCTAGTCCTAATTTTTTTTTGGATCAAAATCAAGTCCTAATTGATTCTGCTGTTTCTCGATCATGTTGTATGCTTCCAAATTCTACTTAGCGTGTAATAATTGATAATGGGTTATTCTATTTTTTCATGGTATTGGACAGGTGAAAATCACACCTGAAGTGTGATAAATTTACTATAAACTTCTAATATTATCTCCCCTAATTTTTGTGTACTTTTTAAAAATTTTAAACTTTTGTCAACAATAGGCTAGTCACGCAAATAAAAAAAAGTGACTGGTCACACATCTTAGTCTTTGCCCTAAAGAACTCAATCTAGCAAATTTCTTAGAACAATGGTGAAAAAAATCATATTGTTTCTTTTTTTTTTTGGATCTGAAACAGCCCTATTCATTTTTTAAAAAATAAATAAATTGGCCATCTTACGTTCATTAAGAAAGGAAAAAAATTTTTGTCACTACACATGGATGTCCGGCCATCCTAAAAGGAAAAAAAACAATTGTTCCGTTCTTGCAATTTTTTTAGAGTTAAATATAGTAAACCCCTTAACTTTACATTTAGTTGCACTTTACCCCTTCAACTTTACATTTAGTTGCATATTTGTGATTTTTTTGAAACGTGATTGTAATTTGCAACGCTCATTTGTAGGCGTGGTTATAGGATCAGTTTAGTGATAAATATTTTTTAATTATAAAAATGTAAAATTGTATTAAAATAGCATACGAATGAGCATTTGTCTTTAATTAAGAAGTAAAAAGGATTTAAAGTATAAATAACAAACTATAAATGGTTTATGAAGTAGATAGTGAGAAAGCTTTAAATTTTAAATTTGACTGGTGATAGGGTTGGTTATAACCCACTACTTTTTATGTATTAAAATAAATACAAAAATCTAGAAAAAAGAATAAGAAGTTTGAAAGTCATTGAGAGGCTCTTTCCTAAAAACCCACTCTGCAATTGTATCTATATAAATTTGAGAAGGGATTTTTTACAACGAGCCTCCACGTATCTTCCTACTACCAATTCCATTTTTCTAGCATTTCATATTTAATTTAATTTATAAAATATATTTCTCTCAACTTCCACATCTACTATTCACATTTGAAATTGTTGGTTACTTTTTAAAATCATTTCATTTCAAATTGTTAGTTAATGTGCATGTTATCCTATTTGAACTTCAACCCATCACGTTTCCGATTGCCTTGCGTTATTTATGATTCTACAAAAATTAAAACTTCTATAAGACCATAAGAAGAGATAATAAATATAACACAATTTCATGCTTTCTTATTAATTTAAATAAGTAAAATTATTTACACTCCATTTCTTAGTTAAAATTATTTACACTCCACTTCAATAATCATTTTGATCATATAATTTTTATTAATTAGACTATATGATAAAACAAATGGTGGAATTGTAAATAATAAAAAATGGAGTGCAAATAACATTTTCTTAGGTAAGAAGTGGCTTCCATACCTTTCTAATTTAAAAAAGTAGTAACTCCGCTTATATAGAAATTTGGTTTGAAATTTATTAGTGGGAGGGTAAATAAAAAGAAAACATTGCCAAATTTAGTAACAATAAAAAAGTAAATGATAATATTTTATCTTTTAACTTAGTAATTCTAAGTAAAAGGGCAAAATTAAATAGAAAACAAAAAGGAAATAATGTCGTGGATTTAAAAAATCAAGAATGATACCATTCATGAAATTCAAACTATGAAATTACTAAATAAAAAACAAAGTACTACTAGCCTTTTAACATGAAATTTTTTATTGAAATATTCATTTTTGATAAAAAAAAATAATGATAATAACAACGCCAATTCTACCAAATTTTTTTTAAAAAGTAACATTATAGCTTAAGAGAAATATATAGAACATTCAACCCGTTTGGATTAGCTGTTTTTGAGGTTGTTTTTCAAAAACAGCACTGTAGCATTTCGTTTTTCAAATACAAATCCGCTTGGATTAGTTATTTTTGGGGTTGTTTTTCTAAAACTATATGAAAAACTTTTACTGTAGATTTTTTTGAATTATTTTTGAGGTATTTTTAAAACATATTTTTGAGTATTTTTATAATTTTTTATTTTTTTATTTTTATATTTATATACATTTATGCATTTATAATACATTTATAAATATTTATAAATAAATATATTTATATAAAAATATATAAATGCATTATATTATATATAATACATAATATAAATATATTTATAAATGTATAAATTATAAATGAATATTATATAAATGTTTATTATAATTTAAAATTTAAAATTTTTATATTTTTATATTTTTATACATTTATGCATTTATAATATATTTATAAATAAATATATTTATATATTTAAATAAATATATACATAATATAAATATATTTATAAATGTATAACTGTATATTATTATAAATGTATAAATTATAAATAAATATCATATAAATGTATAATTAATAATTAATAATTTTTATATTTTTATATTTATATACATTTATGCATTTATAATACATTTATAAATGAATATATTTATATAAAAATGTATAAATGTATTATATTATATGTAATAGATAATTTAAATATATTAATAAATGTATAAATGTATATTATTATAAATGTGTATAAATTATAAATTAATATTATATAAATGTATAAATTAATATATTATAAATATATATTAATATTATGTATAAATGTATGAATATAATTAATATAAATATATAAATGTGTTAATATTATGTATAAATATATAATTAATATTATGTATATTAATATAAATGTATAAATGTATTATATTATATATAATACATAATATAATGTATTTTATAAATATACATATATATATTATGTATAAATGTATAATATATATAATATATTATGTATATATTAAATATATAATATATAATATATAATATACAATATTTATATAAATGTATAATTACATATTTATATTATATATAATTTATATAATATATGATATTTATATAAATATATTATAAATGTATACAAATATATTTTATATAAAATATTATATTTATAAAATGTATAAATTAATATATAAATATATAAATATATAATATAAATTAATATTAATATAATTTATATATAATATACATAATTGAAATATACATATTATATATATTAATATCTATTATAAAACAAAATTGCATAAATATATTTATAAATTTATATATATAAATAAATGTATTTATATAAATATATAATATTTATTTCAAATTATATATTATATAATATTATACATAATTGGAATAAATATATTTAAATTAATATAATATATATATCCTATATTTAATTGAAATAAACATATTAAATATGTATTTGGAGTTGTTTTTGATATATTGTTTGGATATGTGTTTTTGAAATTGTTTTTGAAATACACATTTACTGTAGCATTTGGAATGTGAAAAACAGTTTTTCAAAAACAGCCCCAAAAACAAGAATCCAAACGGACCCGTACGTAATTTGTATATATCTGGCCCAAATTTGACATTAGATTTGAATAAGAGTGCAAAATCCAAACACTAAGGATAAGTTTTGGTATCACTAAGGATACATATTTTATGTAAATATGTATTTGTTATGTTAAATATATATATATATATTGATTGTAATACTTGAGAATATTATAGATATTATCAGTTTTTCATTTTCATTTTTAGATACTAATAATTGCAACTATTGCAATTAATTTTTAATTTTATATTTTCATTATGATAGGTAAAGTTAAATATATTGGGTCACAGGGATATGAATTTAGAGGTTAGGTAAAGGGGGAATAGGGAGGGAAGAAAATGGTGAGAAGTTGAAAAATAGCAGGAAAGATTGAAGAAGAAATATGGGTTACAAGGATGGGCGGAAAAGGGAGAGAAGAAAAAAGGGGATTGCAGGGATATGACAGAAATGACAAAAAATAATAATAATAGAGAGAGTGACACCATGATAGAAGATATGAAAGTCATATGAGGCATTTGATGACTAATCTAAATGCGGTCAACAATTTTAGGGGCACAAGATATGAGAAAGATTTTTTTCTAAAAATGGAAGAAAATAAATTGGTTATAATTTATTTTTTTATATTATAAGTTTTGATATATGGGTATAACATAATATGTTTTGTCGGATATTAAGAAATTGACCTTTTTCTATAAAACTTTTCTTACCTTACCATCCAACCCAACCATATCCTTAAATGCGTTAATAATTCTTTTATCATGTAAATCATTATAGATTATTTTTTTTTTCAAATTATTAAGCATACACTTCTTTAAAATTTTGAGTCTGCTGTGGGATATATAAAGTAATTTCCCACTAAAAAATACAACTAGTGATTAAACCGATTCAGTAATTCCCAAGAAAGATCGTCGAAACAATCTCCTTAGACAGAATTACTTGGAATGGTAATTCTGTCTAAGGAGATTATTTCGACGATCTTTCCTGGGAATTACTAAATCGATTTAATCACTAGTTGTATTTTTGAGTGGAAAATTACCCGGTTTCCCCAACAGGATATCACACATAATATTATATATACATTATTAGTATATAAAATATTTACTCTATCAATTAAAAGGAGCTCGAGAACCCATCACAATTTACTCTCTCTCTCTCTCTCTCATCCAAAAACACAGGCACAACATTCTAGTATTCACATACTTGGTAAGCTTGTTATTTTTATGGAAGCATGAGTACTGCCTGCACATGGTAACAAGTATCTTTCCTAGTGTGAATGATACGTTGTTACCTTCTGTAGCCAAGTCATCCGCCGAATTTCAAAAAATTGATGGAGGAGTATGTCAACTTTTGCACAGGTGCATTTTGAGTGAAATTATATACCATTAGCTGGGTTATTGCTTTATCTCTGACTCCAGTCCACTGAATGTGACCTGGATGCTAAACTTCGACAGAGCTGTCTAGAAAAATTATGCGGGGTATAGCTCTGGCATTGGGTGGATCACCAGTTGAATTTGAAGGGACAATAGCCGGTGATCCATTTTGGGTGCTGCGTATAATTGGCTATCCTGGTGTCTCCCCTGCAAATGGCCAAGACATGCCAAAAAATGATATTGGATGGTGAGATTGCTGAAGATGGATTTCATCTTCTTTTATTTCACTTCTAGCACTTGATTGATATGATTTTGTGCTTGTTTATGTCTTTTATCCAAATGAACGCAGTGGAGCTCATACGGAGTTTGGTGTAAGCATGAGGTGTTCTTATTTATACGTGACGATGACCTCTTGTTCTATACCAGGTCTGGTGACGTTAGTCAATCAAGATGATGGTATTACTGCTCTTCAGGTATCGCCCTCCTGTCTACTTTCTTCTTTATTTGCCTTCATTTTTTAGCATTAGTGTGTATCCTGAAGTTCTTCGTGTTAAACTTGGGTCTGTTTCATTAGTTTCTGCTTGAAATATGCATGTTTCTCTGTGTTCCATTGACACCACTCTGCACTCTTAAAACTTTCATTAGTTTCTGCTTGAAATATACATGTTTCTCTGGTTTTTCATTGTCACTACTCTGCACTCTTAAACTAGTCCCTTTGTAGGTAAAAAACCTTTCTGGAGAGTGGATATCAGGACCACCCATTCCTGGGACATTTGTTCGCAATATCAGTGACATGCTGAAGGTATGCATCTCAATAATTGATTCTCCAGTGGTTTTCATGCTGTCATCCGATAACTGTTCTTAATATTTGGGAATCTTCAGATTCTATCCAATGGCCTTTATGAATCAACATTGCATCGGGTGACTAACAACTCTCCCATTTATCGGGTCTGCGTGGCCTACTTTTATGAGGTAATCCTCTCTCTTAATTTTCCTTTTTTATTTTGATTCAGCTTCTTAATCAATCTCCTTGGTTTTTTTCACATGAATAGCCAAATTATGATGCTGTAATAGAGCCATTGGATGTAAGCGTAAAACAAACTGGTGGAACCACGAGGTTTGAAGGTGCTGTTTACGGTAAACACTTGGTCAGTAAAGTCCTGACAAATTTCATATACTGAGGAATAAATATATCTCCCCATTTTGCCTGTTTCGACTGAATCTCTCACATTCACGAATTTTGGGGATTTCATCCGTTAGCCGTTGAAAGGATGTACAATAATATCTTGTGTTTATTGGATTAAGTTGTCGGTTGATTTAAGATGACATGACCTCATCAAGTTCTCGGAGTTTTTGGAACTCTGTACCTAGCTGATCCCCGTTTCTTTCATTTGGTTTTGCCTTGAATTGTGCAATTATGTTGGCGTATCAGTATTCAACTATTCATAAAGCACCCTCAACTTTGGAACATAAATATAAGCTGGTTGGCTTAGGCTTTAACTACGTATTAATGACAGCGATGGTTTACTGTATACACTTATAAAATACTCCCTCCGTCCCACTTTGACAGTTTTGATTCTTTTTTTACACAATTTAAGAAAAAGTAGTTAATTTTATTGAAACAATCAATTTAGGTGGCTATTTTTCTAAAATACACTCACATTAATTAGAGTACAACTTTATGAGAACTTGAATTGATAGTAAAAAAAGAATAAACTCTCATTAAATGGGGTAGGTTTATAGTAACAACAACTTACATTGAATAAGGGTATTTTAAGAAAATTAAAATACAATTACATTCTTCAATTGGAAAGTGGACTATAATTTGGGACAGACGAAAAAGGAAAACAGGACTATCAAAGTGGGACGGAGGGAGTATTTCGCGGACAGAGGAAGATTTTCTCCTCCAGCTTCTGACAACAAAATACATACATAGACTTAATATTACGGCGTAATGATGGGGTAGGCACTTAGGCGGCTGGCTGCCGACACCGAAATTCACGAGCCTGGCTCTTTTAAAGCAGCATATGTCGGCGATGGAGGCCTTGCCCGCTTGGGCACATGATCGGATGTCTGTGGTGTGCCCTTAGAAACATAAATGCCGCAAGGCACGTAGTTGAGCCATTTCGGGTCCGGGCAGGTCCAGCGCCTTGAGAAGAAAGCCTCGCATTCCTCGGGGCTTCTTTGCGAAGGAAGGTCTAGAATGCAATTCATGGTTACGTTCAGGACTTTCTTCTCGATTAACTTCCAGCATTCTGGTCCGACTTGAGTGAAATAATTGAACTTGAGGTCCAGTACCTCCAGGTCGCCCAGGATGCACAAGCTCTCTGGAACCGCCCCGTAGAATTGGTTGTACGACAAGTTCAGCTGCTGAATATCTTTCAAGCACCCGAATGATTGTGGAATGGGACCTGTCAATTGGTTTATGCTGACATCCACAATATGTGTTTTATTCAGAAACCCAATCTCATAAGGTAGGCAACCGGAGAGGCTGTTGTTTAAGAAAAGAACCTCGAGGAGATTTCTGGAAGTTTGGCCAATGCTCTTGGGGATTGGGCCGGTTAATTCGTTGTTTGCAAAGGTGAGATAGAGTACAGGGGTTTGGCCAAGATTGTGGGGGATTTTTCCGGAGAATGCGTTGTTGTTGAGGAAGAGCACGTCCAGGTCTAGTGTGAAGGCCTGAGGCGGGATTGTCCCTGTTAACTGGTTGAACCTGACGTCCAGGTATGTCAAGTTGGTTGCCCCTAGGGCTGCTGCGGGGAAAGCTCCTACGAGCTTGTTGTTGCTCAGGTCGAACTCGAAGAAGTTTGGAAGTTTGGATATTCCAAAGGGAATGTCACCTGTGAAGTTGTTGGAGTTGACATGGAAGATTACCAGGTCCTTGAGATCTTCAACGAAGTCTGTTGCAACGAGTGGACAGCCAGGTCCGCCGTTAAAGTTGAAGCCATTGAAATTGACGCCAACGACTCTAAACTTGTTATCTTTGGTGCTTCTGTCGCACACGAAGCCTTTGTATTTGGATTTGTCGTAACAAATGCGGTTGCCCGTCCAGGTTTTGGTGACGCCAAAAGGGTCGCACTTTATTCTCCTTTTGAACCTTTGGATTACTTGGATGGCCATTTTTAGTTCCTCGGAAAGAGTAAATGGAGGGGGCGGGGGTGGACAGGGAGGAGGGGGCGGTGGCGACGGGGGTGGAGGGCAGGGGGGCTGCATTGGAGGCTGTGGGCAATCTTGGCATTCTCCATTGTCAGGAGGGTAGGCAGGGGAATAGGGAGGACTGCCAACCCCTATAACGATTTCGAGTGTTTCCCTGTTGATCGGGGTAGTTGCTGGAGTACCATTACCAACGACTTGATAAAACCAGCAAGAGTGCAGGATAACAAAGAAGACAAGAAGAGGAAATGTGAGTGAGAAAGTGTTCTCTCTCTCCATATTCCAACACTTCTGATGATTGAACCAGGAGGAAGGCACAACCTATATATGCTAATGGGTAGGGAATGGCAATGATAGGTGATTCAGTGATTTGAGCCATACTGCCAATAAAGAGAGATGAGTTCATGAGGATGACGTCCTTCAATTGTACCATGAGTTTCTGTTGTTTTGGGCACTATGAGTGGGGCTTCCTCATCAGGGCGGAGCCAGAAAAAAATCTTAGAAGTAACATGTGAAATTTAAGAGGGGCAGTGGGGACCGTGCCCCCAGTGCCCCCACCTTAAATCTGCCTTGTTCCTCATGCAATATGTAGATTCTTTTACATGTGTTGTGTTGTGTGTATACATAAAATTTTAAAAATAAATAAATATGTTAAAAAATGTGTTTATAATAATACAAGTAAATAATTTTTTGATAAATAATTACCATCCAAACGGATCAAGTATTTAAGGAGTTTACAAGTTTTTAAGAAATGAAAATTAATACTACTACTCAGAGCATTTTAATCGTAAAATGCCATTTCTGCAATTGACCAGTGATCTACGTGTCAGATAGTATTGGATTTTTATTTGTAGTAAGGTAGGCCGCCAAAGTGACATCAGACGTTTCAAATGTTAAGTTCTCCGCTTAAAGTTTGCCGTCTTTTATTCTTTCTATTTTCTTTTCTGCTTTAGGGTGAAGAGTGTCTTCTTTTTTTTTTTTACAAAAGCTTGATTTTGATTGTAAACCTACCCATACGTTCCGAAAATATTTAAGATTTACCGGAAAAAAAAAATAAAAACTACAACTTATTAGCTACAGCTATCTTTACTCCGATCTACTCTATAAATAAGAGCAACACTTTCACTTTAAAAGAAAAAAGAAAGAATAATACATCGATGATGTCCAATAACACGACGGACTTGGCAGGATGAAGCGGCCTGCAATGGCTGTGAATCCGTTCCCTTTCAAAACCAGCAAGTCCGTTGCCCCAGCGCTCCCCTTTTACAAAAGGCAACCGACACATCCGCCGCAGCAGGTTCGAGACAGCTCAAAAGGCAGGCCGCCAGAAAAGTGAAAGAGATAGTAGCCAGTAGGACAAAACTTCGCATGATTGACCTTTCAACGAGGATCTGTCCTCTTACTATTATTTCCTAGGACAATTGCCCTCCCAATGCAATTCCGGAGGAGCCATCCCAATCGTCAATACATCCTTCCAATCTTGTGCATGTGCACTTCCTCCTTGATGTTCCTACTGTGTCGCAGTTGACATGTGCATCCCCAATCGTCTATTCTCACCGGCATAAACATTTTACACTCAATTTTGTATCTGCACTAACAAACTGTTCCCCTAATATATCTTTACAGGCTACTCAGATGCCAAGGAAAATTAAACAAATATCTTCAAGAGGGACCAATAGGTTCCACTCTGCCTTTCCCAGAGTTCTATAGCTGCCCTTTTCTGCTGTCTTCTCTGGAAGAGTTCTATTTTCATTCCATCTTTTACTATTTTAATGCAAACTAGGGCCAAAAAAAAAAAAGGGTTCACGAATCTACCAAGTTAAGGTTTTTAAATTTTCTGGCACAATTTCACCACCAAAGTATTCCTTTAAAATTCCTAAAGCTTTGCCTTCAACAATGATGACCATCCAATCTGCAGCCTATGTCAGATAGTGAAGCAGCAAAAAGATAAAAGAGGAAAGTAGAAAACAAGGCAGCTAAACGTGTCGCATGAAATTTCAACTGTCAGTGGCACTCGTATGGTTTCTAACTTGTCCGACACTGGCGCACACAGTTTTGCCAACACTCTAGATTTTATTGCACTTTTGTCTACAAAGAGACGTCTAAATGCTACTGATAGGATAGATGAAAACCACTACTCTGCAAAAGGAAGGAAGATGGAACTTCATTATGATTGCAAAGAGCGCTATGGTGAGAAAACTAAGCAATCTTTAACTAAATTCAATGAAGCCAAGAACAGAATGACACTGAGGAAGCATATAGTGAAACAGTGTTTCACACTGGCAAATGTCTAACAAATGCAAAAGCTAATACAATGAACTCAGAACAAGTTATCCTTGGAAGGCACTATTACCTCACCAACAGCACTGATCAAGCAAACAAATTTCTTCGTACTAAGCAACTCTTCAGGTGAAAGATTGTAAACAATTCTAAGCTAAAGTGCTGATTACCGAACAACAGAGTGAAGTACATTCATGATACTTTAGGACCATGATTAACAAAATATTCCAGCTCAAAAGCCAAATAATGGCAGAAGAAGGATAAAGTAACTTCTCTTACCTCATCACATGTCACAGGAAGAATCAAGAGGAATCAACTCTCATGCTGTTAACCTCCTCATTCAACCACTCGGGCATTACTTCCACTAGTAGCAAGCTAACAGCTATTGACTAGCAGTAGAAAGAATAACAGTGTAACTCAACCTCCTCAGACACCACTTTGGCAGAATTCTATACTACAGCAAGCCTCAAATATGAAATCTCTTCCAGGACCATAAATCTCATGTCGCAAATCCATTTGCAGATGCCCTCTCCACTCTGCTATCCTTCACATACAGTGGTATCCTCACACCAAGATCCCTAAGTCGATTAACCACGTCGTAGAGAAACTCAAATGTGAGTTTTGATTGTGCATTAAGGTCATCTCTTACATTTGGATGTACCCTGAACCAATCTCCTAGCATCTTATGCACATGGGAACGAATCATTCTCCATGGCACTGGATAACTCTCACAAAACTTTAAATATTCAACTAGTAAATCCGCCTGGTCCAGTTTTCCATCTACACAGATATCATCACTTCCTGATACCCATTCGACAGTACGGTATCCAGCAAAGAGGGCTGGGTTTTCCAGCAGAGACTCAGCTGAAAGTACCCCCTCAACCGCAGTCTCTTCCAAACAGCTCTGCACATCTTCCATGTATCTTATATTCCCATTAGCCAGAACAGGGATTCTCATGACATCTCTAACAGCCTTGATGGCACTCCAATTGGCACGAAATTTCTTCCCATCTTTTTCATCCCTAGTCCGACCATGTACTGCCAAAAGAGCACAACCAGCATCTTCCAACATCTTGGCATAATTGATTGTGTCTTCCAAATTCGGGAAAAGTCGTATTTTGCAGGAGATTGGAACACTAAGGTTGTTTGCTAGTTTTTCTACCATAGATTTAACCAAAGGAAGATTGTCCATAAGGAAAGCTCCATAATTCCCTCGCCTAGCGATACGCTGCGGACATCTGCACGGATGGCAAATATACAACGCTTAACTATGCCTACTTTCAACCAAACTCAACGAAAAGTGATTGTAATGGTACAAGCTCACAGCAAGACAACTTCCAGATGCCAGTTACATGGAATTGCAAGGAAATTATACTCGAAAGAATTAGCCACGGCAAAAAGTGAGCAATCAGTATAGTTAGAGTCAATATGGAAAAACTGTTCTAGAATACATGTACGAGATAAATATGCAGCACTAGGTGCAATATCAGCTTAATGAAAATGCCCGTTATGTCATTCATTACGGGAGTTCCTCCTTCTACAGTAGTTAGCAATAGTAGCTAAACAAGGAAGGAAAAACATGGGTAGAAGGCGTTACCCCAAATTGATGTCTACATAATCGCAGTAGGGTTCTACTCTCCGCGTAGCCTCCAACAATATATCTGGATCATTCGCACAAAATTGCACAAATAGCGGACGGTCCTCCTGTCATTATTTCTCAGCAAATTTCTCCTTAATGAAATTCAAAACTATACAACTTCACAGACTAAGTAACAAGAAGCATAAGACAAGTAACTAAAAACAAGACCCGAAATTACCTTGCAGGTGGTAAATTCTTGAGAGCGGTACTTTTCAGTTTCGGTAAAAATACGAGAGTGAAGCATAGGGGTATAAGCAGCTTGAGCTCCGTACTTGCGGCAAAGCATGCGGAAGGGGAGCTCGGAGTTGTCGACCATGGGGGCCACTATGAACTTAGGTTGCCCAAGCTTCTTCCAGTGTGCCCAGGCTCTCTCGATCCGCGACTCTGTGCTCAAGTACCCGTTTGGATTTGGGGCCGGGAGGCCGTCCAAATGGGCTGTCTCTCCTTCTGGTTCTCCTTGTGGTTCGGAACATAGGCGGTCGTCGTCGTTGCAGTTTGACGATGAAGAGGAAGTTAGGGTTTCGATGGCCATCAAGTTATACGATGAATTGGGCGGCTGTGGGCAAATACTACGTGTGGCGCAGAGTGGCTTCCTAATAAATCTCATAAGGAGGCGATGGAGGCTGGGGAGGGTACGCAGCCCATGACCACCCTTGAAGTTGGGGAGGGGGAAGTTTTTGCTTCAGTTTATTTGGAGGGAGGAGGCGGGGGCCCGCGGGATTATAGCTGTTTTAGATGGGTAAAAAAAATCAAATCTTTTGTTCAGACAAGGATAGGGTTGTTTTGGAGCTGAGGCTCCAAATAAGTCTGATCTTGATGCATTCTAAGTAACTTTTAAGCCGAATTACTCAAGACGATTAATCCGAGTTACATAATAACTCGCAGGCTCAAGCTTACGTATCAACTATCAACTAGTATTTTAACCTGTGCTATGCACAGGTTTATATGAGAATGATGGAAAATATTGTCAAATACAATATATTATTATTACCCCTTTCTCTCGTATTCTCGTCATTCATACCATTTTTTTCACCTCTCAACCTCTTCTTTCCTCAATATTTCCCTTACTCTCCACTACTCTCATTTTCACTTTTTGAATCTAACTTTCTCACATCCCAACAATCTTTTCTCATTTCTTCAGATTCTACCCAATTTTTTTTGTATCCCTACAATCCTTTCTCGTTTTCATCAAATTCTAGTTTCTCTTGGCTTTATCGCGCTCCCACCCAATTATCCTATCTTTTATTTAATTTTACAGTCCACTTGTCTCCTATTCTATTATTATTTTCATCTATTTATAAATGTAAATGGCAACTGACTCGCATATTAACAAATGAGTTTGCGTGTGTAATTTAACTGGACACAAATGAGTGACCAAATTAACCCATTAATTAGTGGGTATGAAATTGATAGATTTGGATCACTTATTTTGACTTAATTAAATTAGACGTAGATTCAAACTCAATCATTAGTGGGTAAATCTAAATTACTCTAATAATTATATTCTAATTTTTGCAAAGATGTATTCATCATTTTTCCTTTTCTTTAATTTCTATTATTTTATTTTTAAAAATTTATCATACTTCCTCCATTCCTTTCATAAAAGTTTAATAAATATTGCGAATGTTAATTGATTGTTTGCATTAATACTTAAATTATTTTTAGAATATAGTAAAGTGACAAAATTTGAAACTCACTATGAGCAATTTTTAAAGTTTTTTCTCCTTCTTTAGGTAAAAATTGTTTTATTAACTTCATATGTTGATATGATTTACTATTTTGTTACTAAACAAAATATGGATGAAAAAGTAAATAAAATTTAGTAGCGGGTCGTGAATGGGTGATTGGATAATCCAAACCTATATAAAACTATATTCATTGACGACTCGTTTAGTTTGAACCATTAACTAAGTAGGAATATATAGATTAACCTAATTATCACTTGCCCAAACTCACATGAATCATCTAATTTGATAACTTGCCCAAAATTTTATCAAAATTTTGCTAAAATACCACCAAAAGCAATCTTCTAAATACACCTTTATTAATTTAAAATTCATACATAAATTTTTCTTTACGTGCACTTTTGGGTGTACATGTGCTAATTGAAAAGTCATATAGATGCTTACATGACATTAATATTGAGTTCATTATAAGTGTCAATGAAATGCCATAATTGTTATTTACATGCTCCAATTTAATGTTAGAGCATAATTTCAACATTCAAATTTTAAAACTTTAAAAAAACAAACCTACTTAATAAAATCCAACATAAAAAATATAAAAAACAAACATATAACATAAAAAATAAGAGTAATCGAGTATATCATTAGAAGATTTTGACAAATGATTATTGTGTCCAGAAGGAAAGTGATAAAGAAATAATTGGGTAAATAAGTAAAAAAATAGGACTAATCACATTATCTCAAGGATTTGGCTAGATAAATTAATCCTATTTAATGAAGGAATAAAAGGGGCTAAAGCGATAAAGATATAATAGGGTGAATAATTTAAAATGAGACTAATCAATTATACCTGAAATTTTTGACTTGACAAATGAGTTTTATTTAATTAAGGAGTAAAAGGACTTAAAGTATAAATAACAAACTATAAATGGTTTATGAAGGAGATAGTAGGAAAGTTTTAAATTTTAAATGTGACTAGTGATAGAATTAGTTATAACTCACTATTTTAAAGTTTTTAATTAGATTTTATATATTAAAATAAATACAAAATTCTAGAAAAAAAGAATGGAAAGTTTGGAAGCCATTGAGAGGGTCTCTGCCAAAAACCCTCTCTGCAATACATATAGATATAGATATTAAATATCAATATCATATCCTGTTTACTTCTTATCTCGGATATGGGATATCACACATAATATTATATATACATTATTAGTGAATAAAATATTTACTCTATCAATTAGTTAAAACTAATTACTTATATGACCAGCATATTAGTTATCTTCTATTATTCCCTCCATCCCATTGAAAGTGTCATACTTTCCATTTTAGAATGTTTCAAAACCTTTACGTGTTGCAAAAATCAAAGCACCGATTAGTCATTGTTTCCAATATAGCCATTCTTTTTAATCATATGCATATTACCATTCAAATTTAAATTTTGATTTTATGGGGGTAAAATTGAAAAAAAAATACAAATATCACAATCAAATCACTATTTTTAAAAAGTCGAATTCCGAAACATGATTAAATAATTGGGACGGAGAGAGTATAAATTATGGCTAGCAATTTTTTTATTTATTTTTTAAATTAGTTGTTGACACATGACCGGATTCTGGTATTAATTAAGAAAAATCAGCCAGCCATTAGGATGAAATATAGTAAATAAAAACTAAAATATTTGAAACTACATTTGCTTTCATCTAAGCTTTTGAAACTAAAAGCACTCATACTCCAAATGTTTAAAACTAAAATTGCAATTCTCTACACGAATAATTTCACTAATGAACAACAAGAGTCGCGGCAAGACATTATACCGTTAGACATTTTTGGTCATACAAATTTTCGCAACGAGGCCCATTCATCCGTCGCTAGGTTTTACATGGCGACCAATGCAGCAGCCAACTACAAGCCTAGCCCAGCAGATAGTCTAAAGTTGGAAAAATATGGGGACCTACGCTTGCTTCTCTGATGTTCAACGGACCCTGCCTGTTAGTATTTTTTTTTCAAGCCGCTGCCTGTGGCAATTTACAGGGACCACGGGCAGGCGATTTTGTGCATTTTACACACCGTTTAATTTTATTTGCACACGATGTAATTTTATTTATACAACGTGTACTTTTAGAATAAATTTTTGTGAATTTAACACACATCGTTAAAAACAAGATACAAAAAGTAATTTGAATCATATAATTTTTTTGGATCAAATCTTAACTGTGAATAGCTCTGGTGCGATCCTTCTGATGATCACTCCAGCCGCTCATCCCAATTTACAGAAACAAACATGGCATTCGGAAATCATGCAAATTTTGCCCAGCCCCACCCCGCTGCACATTTTGACTTTGCAATATGAATCGTGGGGTTCCATGCCCAACCCTTACACACCAACCATTTTCCCTTCTTCCAATTCTTCCGGTCTTCTTTAACTTCTGACTACTGACTAGTGGAATAAAACTAGTACTATTCTGCACATCCAAACCACTTTACCAGAATTCCATAATTGCATTTAAAACATAAAAAAGTCCCTATTACAGTAACATCTATCTAAATTAATAAATTCAATTAAATAATAATTTTTTAATCTCAGTTTGGGCTAACGAGCTAAATTAATCATTTCGATAGAATAATAAGATAATAATTTTAAAAAAATGTTACATAACTCTTTGATCCCATTCGTATCATAAATTAATAATTCACTAAAATTATACATTATATTTTCCCAAATTATAAGTATATTGTTGTCTGTTTTTCTTAAAATTTAAATTAGCTAAATTTTATCCCTAATTTTCCTTTCTGCATCTAAAAGTTCTAGTCTCATGTTGCAATAAACAATAAGACATTATCCCTACAACTTTTTTATTGCATCTAGAAGTTCTGGTCTCATATTGCATTAAAGAAATTAGGAAGAATTATTGATGCTTAGAATGCTTCTTTTTGCATAACAGGATCTAAAAATATTATATCATACTCAACTTCATCACTAACCGAATTTTAAATGATATGCTAGTAACAATTTCTTCTTGAAGACATTAATAGAATTAAATTATACTTGCAAATCAAGTAGATATACTTAAAGAAATTAGTCTCCTTTTGTTAATAGAATAATTCATATTTTTATAAAATAAAACAAAACTTCAATTGATTAAATGAGTGTTTATTTGATAAATCAATAATTTATTAATTTATCAATTAATTAATAATACCTCTTTAAAATAACAGAATTTGTATCATTCCAAAGTTACTAAGGCCCTGTTTGGCACTTGAATTTTTTGTCAAGTTTATCTGCTACAAGTTTTTTAAAAATTTTAGTTACAATAACCTCAAAAAAAATTTTAAAACTTTTAAACTAGACATTTCAAAATATTCAAAAATTTACACATTTCAAAAAATTTTAAAAAAACTTCTACAGTAAACTACAGTAAAATTTTAAATAAATATCTAAAAAACTCACTTACCAAACGGACCTTATAGAGAGGTTTTATTGTATTATTTTACTACCAAATAGTGGAGCATACACTTAAAATTAGTCATCAAAATGGCCACCTTCCCCTTAATTTCTTGGTCAACCGTCCGAAACACGATATGTCCTACACCGGACCAATGCGGTCATCTTCTTTGACTAAGCCCCATCTATATTCTCGCCACCACCGCTTTATAGTTTATACTTTTATCATTGGGACCGAAAAAGCAAAAGCCACCATAGACCAAAGAACAATTGGCATCCCAGAACATTTGAACCAAAAATAAAAGCAGTCTTTTTCTACATAAACAAATCAAAAGCAGACTGCAAATTGCAGCTATCTTCTTTGAAATGCGCCATACATGTACCAAATCCACCACCTGCCCTGCTTCTTTGCCATTAACTCACCTTCATTTGTCAATTCGTTTAATTCACGATTGATGACCCAAAAAGAAAAGAAGAGAGAGAAGAAGAAAAACAGATAAATGATCAAGACTAAAAGTTGTTGTACAAGAAATAAACTAAAGTCACTAATAATCAGTCTCTAAAATCTCCTTCGAGACACAAACTGAT